ATTAAAGTCACGAGATTGTGCCACATGGGGGAGAGAGAGAGGCAGAGTCTTATGTGAGAGAGGGGGGGGAGGGAAGGGATATAGAGATAGGCTCCCGAAAGAGTAGCAGCCGTGCATGCGAGAGAGAGAGAGAGAGAGAGAGAGAGAGGGAGAGAGGGAGAGAGAGAGAGAGAGAGAGAGAGAGAGAGAGAGAGAGGCAGTCTTATGTGAGAAGGGGGGGAGGGAAGGGAGATAGAGATAGGCTACCGAAAGATCAGCAGCCGTGCATGTGGGAGTGGGAGGGAGAGAGAGAGAGAGAGAGAGAGAGAGAGAGATTGCATTGGGCAGTTGCCTACACCATGAATGCATCACCCATCATATTTGTTTTTGCGCGTGAAGCTGCAACAGGTCATCTAGTATATATAGTTCTTTCAATCCATGTGTGTGAGGGAGAGAGAGAGAGCCAGGGAGCGAGAGAGCTAGAGCTAGGGAGCGAGAGAGATAGAGCTAGAGAGCGAGAGAGCTAGGGGGCGAGAGAGAGAGAGAGAGAGAGAGAGAGAGAGAGAGAGAGAGAGAGAGAGAGAGAGAGAGAGAGAGAGAGAGAGAGGGAGAGAGAGAGATGGGGGCTTGGCGACTATCTGAGGGAGACGTATCCCGGTTCAGGTTTCAGAATTGCATTTGGAATTTTAAGTCAGCGACAAAATGGGAGGAAACTCAGGAAATGTTTTTATTATTTAGGCTGATCATATATGGGCCTTCTCTTTATCTTCGTCATCTCTCTACCTCCTCATCCCCCGTGTGTGAGCAAGAAGAGACCTTTCCTCCATAGACATCACCCAGGGACCTTTCCTCTATGGATGTCGCCCACCTTGGCATCTTGACTGTGGATGCTGAGCGCATGGTCTAAGTCCTGTGTGCAACACATACGCACACACATGCATGTTGGGAAGGAGGGCACTTTCGGCACCTGATTATGCTCCCCTATTAAACATTACTCTTTCTATTAGTTTCTAACATAAAAGTATGAACACGTTCGTCCAAATACAGCACCCAAGGGTTCCTAATGTTTGAATGTTTGGATCTTCGGCCAAACGTCTTCATCCAAATCCGACCCCTGGTTACCCTGCTTGTGACATCCAGCTCCTTGCACAAGTGAAGATAAGAACTTTTTATACGAGTTGCTTAATCCTTGAATAGCAATTAACATTGAACGATACATGCAAAAGGAAAGCAAAGGTTCAAGCAATGGCCGCATATAAGGAAGGTGAACAGCAGATAAAAGGTTACAAAAGATGTAACATCACCTTCCCTGTGCCTGGCGGCCCTTGGATCAAAACAATTTCTTGAGTCAGTGCTGCCTTCAGCGCCTCCGCCTGGGCTTTGTCCAACGTTGACTTTGCAGCCAGTTGATCAACAGGAAAGCTAGCAGGTTTGTCCATGGGAACGGACCCTAGGTCAACTTGTGCAGCTGGCTCGGCAGTCAACGCACAATGTGCCATCTCCAAAAGCTCAGCTAAACCTGTGTGGTGTTTAGAATGGGGAGATGCACCCCGTGTCCCCTCCACTGGACCCTTCCCAGCCTCTCCACCAGGTAACGATACAAGAGGCTTTAAATCATACCGAGTGTTCCGAGTGATGTAGGCTGGCAAAGAGATTTTCGCACCTTCTGCAATTCCACAGATATAATCAGCAAAAGGCACAGTCAGCTCATTGTGTGTTTGCAGGGCCTTCAACACCGGCTCATAAGCGAAGAAGTTAGAGGCAGCCTCGAGGAGCAAAATGTCTGATTTAAATGATGATCCCTCGTTCTCAGTCCCCACTTTTTGCCCACTGCTGCTTCCCTTTGTAGATGTTGCCTTCTTCCCATGTGCAGACTTTTTCCCATGTTGTGAGGATGAGACATTCTTCGCATTCACTGCAGCTGCTAGAATTTCCATCGCCTTTCCACTGAATGGCTGGTTTCCACACATAGACACCCCTACATGAACCCGCCCTGCGGAGGGATTTGCCAAGTGCTTGATATCCCTGATGGATATTGTTCCAAAAAGTAACACAGGGGTTTTTTGCACGGCCTCCTGCCCACTGCTCTCTTCACTCTTCTCTGCCCGCCAGAGGCAGACCAATGAGCCGTGCTGCAGCCGTTTGCTCCTGTCCCAGAACATCTCTCTCTCCTTGGTCGACATGCCCCTTGGCAAGATGTCATCAAATTCCACCATGTAGGAGATTCCAGTACCGCGATTAGCCACTACGGCCCTCACAGTGACGTTCTGGAACATGAAAATATCAACATCATCAGTGGACCGCCCACCCGAGCTGGCCACCGCCCTCACATGTCTGTTAAATATCAACCTCCCACGGCGCAAGTTGAGTCGCTGTTCCTCCTTGAGGGAGGAAAAGAGCAGCACACGCTCCCGTAGTGGTGCAAGCAGATCATAACGCAAAAGCCTGAAATGTATGTCCAAGTGACGTATCACAGGACGATCCTTCTCGTGATGAAGACTCATCCCACTGGGATCATTCTTTGGCAGATAAGGTTGCTGAACACACAATACTTCATCTGGTGTAGGTGCAATTGCAATATCCGTAATGCTCACATGGTCGTTACTATGACGTGGCTCTCCAGAGTATGAGAGCTCCCCAGGCCCACTGATCTCAATCCGCCCACATCCTGCAACTCTTGTTGATTGGGCCTCTGATGGGAAAAGCATATCTTGTCGCTGTTTCTCTCGTTCTCTTGCTTCCCGCCGAAGCTTTTGCTGAAGAGTCCCATTCACCAGGCGGAGGAGCCTTTCCGAAGCCTTCACGACCTCTCTTGTTCTGTTTGTGTGAGGAAATGGAACCTCTCCCCCACAATCGCCAACATCCCCTGACCCTCTCCAGGTATTCACTAGGTCACTCAATGTAGTTGTGAATTGCAGCTCGCTTTCACTGTTTTGGTTCTCCCAGAAACGCGGCACAATCTGTGACTTGTACATGATCACCGGGAGGAAAACATCCTCCCATGTGGCAGGCAGCCAAGCTACCTGTGTGTTCTGGCAGTCCTCATATAGGACATCATCCTTCACCTTCCTCTTTCTGGTGATGAAGCCCAAGCAATCAAGAATGTAGTCACTGAAGCCTTTCACACAATTGACGGCTGCATAGATGCTATTAACTGCATCTGATGCAGGACAGTTGAAGAACTCTGGCTTTGATAGGAGATACAAAAGCGGTACAACCACTGCTTGGAATGAGACAGGCTGCGAGCGCTTCCCAGTCTCTGTGGACACCGCACCACCAGTAGACACTGCCTGTTCACAAATGCCCCGGATAAGATTCCGTCCAGCACTAGACTCAGAACCTAGTGTCAGTGGGAGATTGGCTATGTCTGGCTCGGAAACTGCAGCTTGAATAAAGCGCCGCATCTGATGCTGATTCGACCACGATGCTATTTTCAGGAAAGTTTGAACAGTGTATACCCTGGATGCTGGATTACCACCCCCACTACTTGCAGCAGGACTTTGGATACAGGTTGGAGATGTGGACCCCTGCGAATGCATGCTCTCATGTGCAGGGGATGTCCTCGAGTGACCGCGCCCCCATGATCCATCTCCTCTGCCCCCTCCCGACCGAGAACGTCCCCGACCTGCTTTCCTTGGACCCATTCCCCAATCAGCAGGGCCAGCAGGCCATTCTCTTCCCTGCTGAGTACCACCATGCATACTTCGATCCCAATGTGCCATGTCTCAAACAGACTCCTTTCACAGTTTCTGAAAAAACTGGAATGTCGTTCGCATGCAGGTGCAAAATGAGCTCTGTTTCTTGACAAGTTCTCAAGCGAGGGAAAATATGGAAGTAGCCGAGCTTGTTATCCTCTCTCCACCTGCAGACCACCACCATAAGTCAACTCTAAAATAGTCCATACATTCCAATGAACATATTCAGAAATTTTCAAACAATTGTTCCACTGTTAAGCGGAAACTGCAAGCAAATCATGAACTACAGCAACATCAAACCAATTCACCCCCTGGAACCCACAGGAAGTAAGCTACATTATTGACTTCAAAGCTCAAAAAGGGAAAGGACCACCTCCGAATAAAAAAGGGGTCAACATAGCCATCAGCTGTGACACAATCTGCCTTGAACACATGAGAAACGGGGCTCCAACTCTGATGATCTCCATGGCCAACACCTGTCCAGACATGATCGTCACATACCTCATTGCAGACAGTTATGGCACAGACCCAAAGAATCACCAGAATCAACAAAATCAACAATCGACTGCAGCGGAAGTCTGAAACCAACCAATCTGGCTAATAGCACACAGGACTCAGACCACTTGGGTATGTGATGCGTACAGGGGAGAAAAGCAGTCGTGGCCGTGCCAGGTTTTCTTGTTGCAAATACAAACTACAGAATGCTTCCCTGTTGTCCGTATTTGGAAAAGGCAACATAAAATTGAATGACAAACGAGCACACCCAATACACAGGCTAAAGCTACAACTAAAACCCACTGGCATAAGAAGACACCCACCCAGGTCAAGAAGCCCAGCACTCAACTACACCAGACTTCTATACTACTTGCGGCCAAGACCAGGGTAAAAGACCCAGCTCAGGCCAACAGCACCTTGAAAGTGTGGCAAACATAGCTATTGCTTTTCTAGGTCTACAAATAGACTCTGCCAGCTACACACCCAGGGCGGCCCTTAATTCATATTTACAGCAAGACTTCATTAATTTGTAAATGGCAAACACGGCCAATCATCCACCACGTCAAGCTTCTCCATCAACGGAACAGTCGAGTTAGCTGGTTCAGGTCACATATGAGGGAGGATCTCATGTGAGGCATGCAAGCATACTATCTTCAGAGTTCCTTGGACCTTCCTGCTCAATGGTGCGGTCATGTGCTTACGAGTGTACACAAGAGAGAGAGAGAGAGAGAGAGAGAGAGAGAGAGAGAGAGAGAGAGAGAGAGAGAGAGAGAGAGAGAGAGAGAGAGAGAGAGAGAGANAGAGAGAGAGAGAGAGAGAGAGAGAGAGAGAGAGAGAGAGAGAGAGAGAGAGAGAGAGAGAGAGAGAGAGAGAGAGAGAGAGAGAGAGAGACTATGGTATGTCCTGGTGGTAAAGAGGAGATTAAACAAGGGCTGAAGAAGAGATGAAGCATCCGCTGTAGTTGCATCTCATCGATTGCTGCAATTGTATAAGCCGAACCAAGAGCAMGCTACTTTGCTGGCCTGACTTAGACCAAAGCCTAACATCCGAAGTCAGTGACTCTCTCATTCAGGGTAGGCATTGGCAGACAAAGGACACTGGTCTTATTGGCGGTCAATTAGTTTTTTTATTTTTAGCTTGAGGAACAGTTTCGTGTGCACTAACRAGTACTGTAGAATCGATGTAGACTTCTTTCGATGSTCCTCACCCGTTCTGCTATTACCCCCCCAAGAACATGCTTCTGCCTGAGTATCCAGTTTCTCCGTTCGCTAATGGACATCTCAGAGGAAGGATGACCAAGGCGGGCCATCCAGTTTCGTGACTAATCGACAGCCTAGTGCACCAAAGTGGGGCAGGTAGAGGCAGGTAGTACCCGGCTGGGAGGTACTGGAGGCCAGGAGGCAGCTAAGTATTCTGTATGTAATGATAGTCCAGGTCTGAACGGATGCAGGAAGTCGTCTAGGTTCAGGACCTGTAGGTAAATTTCAGTCTGAAATGTTGTTCCTGCCAAAAGGAGGAAACACCCGGAAGACYTAGTGCACTAAAGTGGGGCAGGTAGAGGCAGGTAGTACCCTGCTGGGAGGTACTGAAGGCCAGGAGGCAGCTAAATATATTGCATGGGTCCTGGAGACCAACTCACGCCAGTGTGTACATGTCATGCATCGTCCTTGCACACAACGATCAAAAGTCTCACACAATAGACAAAGGTAGATGAGAAGAGAACCGAGTTTCATCCCTTATATTATCAAAAATATGATTAAAAAGAGTTTCATAGTTCCCTGAGTCCAGCGCTCAACAGAGCAATGTCAATTCAGCATCAACTCATCAACATGACTTCCAATACATCAGYGCTACTCCTGCAGATTGTCTCCAAGTCATCAATGTGGTCACTACTCATCAGYGCCACTTCTGCAGTTCAAATCCAACTCAGGTAAGTATCTTCCATAGCCACACCTTGAATGAACACTCTCTGCCTYRGTCCCTTCCTCCTACGWTGCATACACACTCTTCTCTCGCAAGGATCTACTCTGAATGCTACTCATAGCTATCTACTAACCSTCTACACTACTATTAACTCGCTGGGCAGCTATGGCTGCATCCCTTCCAGCGCACAATCTGTGTCCAGCGCATCTTCTCCTTCAGCGCAGCCCCTACTGACCAGCGCACAAGCGCAACAGCACTTCCACGCATTGAAGCCAGTGGAGATCTGGCGAGGAATGAGGCTGGCTGCTTAGAGTGCTGGCCTCTCCTCGCTGGGTCTGCATTGGCTCAGTTCAGCCTTTCCTTCGTCCCGGACCCTGCATTGCATGTGTCCCAGTACAGTCCCAATGAAGCTCAATTGCTGCTGAGGCCTTTCGGCCTAGATTTGGACTTGAAAGTCTGGATCTGGACTGCCCCCTTGACTTAGACCAGAACTGGGACTCTTCCTATTGACTTACTTTTGGACAGGCACATCTTTAGACGAACAGACACACTCACTGCCTGAACAGACACTCCCAAGGTGTGAATAGACACTCTTCTTTGCACGAACAGGTGCACTGACTGCAYGCACAGACACACCATATTCCGAACAGACATGGCATGCGCATCTCCTGGTGAACAGGTAAGTCTTTTGACAATGCCCTTTGCTTTAGATTTAGATGTGCCCGTTRATAGAGAACTTGACCTTTGACCTGCTTTCACGTTTCTGAGCCCTGGCGAGATACCCTTTCACGTTGCTTTACTTTTACAAAGCCTGAGGCCTGCATCGGGTAAAGACCCTTCTAATATCATTCGGTCCAATGAGCATACCGCTCATTCACCGAGCTCCAAGAAGGAGGTGGAGCTTGAGCATGATGGTGAAGACCTCCATGGTTATGGATGCATAGTAGGGAAGATGTTGAAATATACCTGGGAGATGGAGGGGAGGGAGGACCTYTAGCTAGGCTATGGGTAGTGGTAGAGGTAGGAGGAGGAGGAAGGAGGTTTGAACCAGGGAAGGAGACTCACCTTTGGCTACGGTGGACTTGCATCTTCATCTCCAAGGTTGGTGCTGCATCTAGAAGGCCCCTGAAGGGGTACCGATGTGTTGAGAACTTCATCTGCTAGTRTAGGCTTGGCGGCTGAAGTGGGACAGGACATGGAAGTTTTCGCTTTGTCCCATGAACATCCAAGCTAAGCTGGGATGTGCYGCCATAGCCAGATACCATACCAAGCAGGCAGGGAGGTGTAGGAGGCCAAAGGGGGGCTCTTTACGTTGCCGGCAGTAAGGGGTAGTAGGAAATTTAATTCTGGCTGTTTCACACGTTGCTGTTGTTTATTATTGACAATAAGATGATGGTGGAGATGACGAGGGGTAGATGATGGAGGCAAGATGGGGGTGCRATGACATTCGTTCCAGGTTGTTTTATCTTCCTCTTCCTCTTCTATTCTTCATTCTTCTTCCACCCTTGTCCTGATCTTCTTCCAGTCCCTTTCATTTGAGTTGCGGCCTCAGAAAGGCACAAAGCGCGTTCACCACCGACAAGGGCGCCTTCGGCGCCAACAAATATGCAATCCCCGGATCGGCCTCYCTCAATAACGATAATAAGAAGGTCGACAGAGCCGCCATAGTAGGGGAACTGAAGGGCGGCAGTCACGAATCGATGGCGCAATTGAATGGCATTCTCTCTTTCTGAGTTTTACATTGGGAGCTGACCAGGATCATAGCACTTGGAAGGACGTAGAATCAAGACAAGAAGGAAAGCAGCAGCAGTCCACAAGATTAAACCAATGTTGTCTTCTCGTCCTCTCCCTTCACCATCTAAACACAATCATGAATGAAGCAATGAACTAGAATAATCCCCTCTTACTGCCACAACTCAAAGAGCACTCCTTGACATCTCTCTCAATCCTCTCGTCAAGGTTTCATATCTGCCTCATCCATGTCCAGCAGGGTAGTTCCACATAATGCACTAYTATGATGCCTCTACCATATCGTTCCACCATAGCRCACGCCAGGATGAATTCCATGTTCAACCTGTTCCCCATCAGGGGCCTTTTAGRTGGAGTGCCAACCAAGATGAAGGTCAACCATAGCCAAAGGTAAGCCTCTTTTTGTTGGTTCCCTAACCATGGAGGCCCTCTTCCTCACCATCAACTTCTCCTTCTTCAACCCAGAGTTCCACATAACTCTCCCTTAGGGAGGAGCAGCATCATTGACTGCCAGGTCCATGCCCGGACTACTTATTGCACAAGATGGTATGCTCATGACTTCTCAGTCTCCAGRACCTCCACCGGTACACTAGGACCTACTGCATCATTCGCCTACAGAGCCAGAACCTAAATTCATGTCTAAGGTCTACCTACATTTGGGTCATGCACCATGATGACCTGCTGACAGCTACCCAACATTTTCGGCCTACCTGAGTTACCACAAAAATGTTACAATGTCCGTTTCAAACTCTACTCTTTCTACTGCTGTCTTCGTCCATCCTAAAATTTGGATAAGTCCGTACAGCATCCAATTTCAGTCCTCCCCCTGTAATTATATATATGMGGAAACTGTGGCTGTGTCACACTTTTAATGTGAAATAGGCAAGAAAAGACCAAGTGGCACCGAAAACCTCATGGCCATACTATCGTCAGGTTGACAAATACTCCAAACCTAATCTTTCCACCTGCCAGTGGTAYATGGCCCCCAAACGACACATCCTTTTTCTTWTCCCCTCAAAAAGGAAAAGAGAAMRGTTTGGATCATATTCAATTCTTTCTACCGTACCCATCAACAAAGTGTTACGCGGGAGGGCCCATGGAAAAGGGTGATACGACCTGTGGAATTCCATCCAGCTGACGCTGACCCCAACATTATTGAACGTAACTGGATACCAACTCGTGATCTGTTCAGATCCTGGGAAATCACCTTCCTCCTTCACGATATAAGTCAAAATTGGAACCATAATAGAGAAGATTGACATGGAAACAACTCCCCCTCCAGCAACAGAACAGACGCAAGGTCTCCAATGTATAAACCTTCTTGATCCCTTTGGATTTCTAGGCATCTCAGTAACATGAAGGGAATTACCTTCTTCACCCGAATTAAACATACGATCA